CCTACACAGACTTTCCTATAGTAATAATTGGGCTGGGTGTTAACTTTTTAACTTCCCTGAGTTGAAGTGGTCAGACGTGAGACTTCTTTTTGCATGAAAAAAATTACTACCTTCAAATATCTACTGCCAAGTGACTATGCTTTTTCAAGTTGGTTGGGAGAGGAGAAACCTCAAAATGATACTGTAGTAACCAGTAAGGCCAGCTGTGGTATGTGGAACTCTTTAGCTGACTCACCTTGGCATCGAGTTTCAAGACCTTTAACCTCAGCTGTTCAACCATGTGGGTCCTATCATTAGTTGAATACTGGGATCTGTGCTACCAAAACTTTCATCCACAAAAACCTCAACGTGAGGAAGTAATAATCAGTCTTTAGGCTGCATCACTGGTCAGCCTTGAGTGCTTCAGGTGAATTCCCGACCAAGTAGTTGGGCAAGACTAGAGCATGTGTCAGACTTTTCCTAAACAAGCAATGCCCTGGCATGCAAGCTAAAACATAACTTGTAGTCTAGTGAGGTCTCCAGTCCGGACACGTGAGGATCAGGACTCTTCTGGGTGTAACATGTTTCTTAGCCCAGAGGCACTCTTTACGTATCTCTGCCAGGCAGTGGAAAACAAGGCTTGGCCAGGACAGCTTTCAGATAGGATCTGGACAGAGAAATGGTACGATGAGTTTATGTATTCCTGCACTTGAACTGAAAATAAAGGCAAACACAAACTGTTCTGAATACAGTTTGTGCACTTTTCACAGCAAAGTGGAGACTTGAGATATCAATTCTGGCAGCTTTTCAGTGAAAGCTTAACACTGGTGTGAGCCAAATGCATTAGGAATAGATTAACATGACTGCTGGTATGCTAAATAAAGTGGGAGAAGAAAAATGCCTGCAATGATAAGATACTAAGCTGGTTATGAAAATAAAGTCCTATTTTGCAATCTTTGGTATAATGAAAAACTTGTAACATTAAATGGAAGATGCTGTGAAAAACGGAAAGCAAAGTCCCTTGGAAAGTGAAGTCCACAGGATAAGTCAAAGTCATCCCAAAGTCACTCTTGCCATTGAAGTGCCAGTCACAGGATTGGTCCTAGCCTTGTCAGAGCCATCCTTCCAGAAGGCTACAAAAAGCACAATTTATCCTTCAAGAAGCCAGTCAGGCAAAATTTGCCTTTCTGTGCTCTGGAACTGTCTGGGTGGGGTTTTTTTTTGGTTTGGGTTTTTTTTGGTTTGGGGGATTTTCTTTGAGTGTTTCTGGTTTTGTTTGTTCCCCCTTTTTTTTTTTTTCCTGTTTGGGTTGTGTTTTGATTTTTTTGGTTTTTGTTTACTTGGCTTTCTTTAAATTTTGCTATTGCGATATAATTTTTTCTCTGGGAAGTACATGGAAAATGGAATTGACACCTGCAGTGCAGGAAGAAAGATTCTGATGGTAGGGCTTTTTTTAATTTCCAATTGTGGAATGGTCCTGCACTCTGGCTCTGCTAATCTGATGTGGTAGCATTTTCCCATGTTTGTATTATGGCATAAGAGGAAATAGTCAAGTGGTTTGGGAGACATTATCCTCACTTCTAGGCCAAATTTGCTTTGTTGATTTTTTTTTTTGGTAGTTTAACATAAAATAGTGCTTCACCACTTGATGTAACATTTGTTCTTTTCCTGTGGTTCTTTCCTGTTAAAATGGATGTGTTACAATGGAAGTCTCTCCCAGTGCAGGTTTGAAGGAGGTACTTCCTATTTCCCTGGAGTGAGTCATAGGGTTTATCTGCACAGAGAAAATGGGGTGCCCTACAACCAGCTGTTACTCTGCAGCAATTTCCCAGGTCAGTCTGTGTGTACCCCACTTCGAAGGGATGCAGCCCAGCCTCTGACCTGACAAGCCCTTGTGCAGCCCCAGGCAGCAGCCAGCACTGAGCCCTCATTCCCAGCCCCGTGCTGCATACAAACCCTCGGAAAGCACATGAGTTCCTTATCAGAGCAGCCCTGCTGTGGTTTTTGTTAGCACTTGTGATGACTTCCTGTGCTGTTCAACAGTCATCCAGTTTGGAAACAGAACTTTTTAGATCCCCAAGTAATTTGTCCATGGCACAGGTGGTTTCTGAGACAGCTCTTCCCCACCTAGCATGAATTAGTGCATAGTAAGTACAGATGCACTGGACAAAACAGGGGATTGTTGTCAAGCTATAAAGGATGGCTCTCACTAACTTAAATCAGCCTCAATGGGGAAGACATTCTGAACTGGGCACTTGAACACATTACAGCACACCTGACGAGCTAACACCAAACAGTTAATAGATTATAAAAAAAGAATTCAGCGTAATTTGACACAGTGTGCTGTTCACATACGGATACATTTAAAAACTGCTTCAGGGACAAGATTACATTGAAAGTTTTAGCATGTGAAAGTCCAAAGGTAATTACAATTATGCTGTCTGGTACTGTACTAAAAATGTTCTGATTGTTGTCATATCAGAGGCCTCAACATCTTATCAGTAAAATCGAAGCTAAGCAAAACTACTCTGAACTAGGACAAAATGCTTTTATTTTTATGTTTGCTTGGGGGTTTTTTTGTATATTTAAAATGGTGGGGTTTTTTTCCAAAATTGCCTGAAGGATAGGAATTCTAGATTGCATTTAAAGATGTAAAAATTAAGGTTTCATCTAGAGTATCCCACAATCAGAAGTGAGGCAACTAGAAGTTGAAAGAAATAAGAACTTTATAAGAACTTTCTTTGCATCAGCTGTTGCAGAGGACTTAAAGGGATATTTACTCAAAGTCTTTTCAAGTAATAAATATTGATAGAGACCAAAAGAATTTGGGCATTAGCATAGAGTCAGAAATGAAAGAGTAGAGAGATGAAAAGAAATAAATTAGCTCAGTTGGTTAGAGAATGGCGCTAATAACACCAAGGTTGTGGGTTCAATCCCTGTATTGGCCATTCACTTAAGAGTTGGACTTGATAATCCTTGTGGGTCCCTTTCAACTCAGAATATTCTGTGATTTTGGGATTCTGTGAAAAGTACCAAGGTGCTTGGAAGAAGAGCTGAGCTGCTGAGAAAATAAAATGCTCTGTTTAAAATTATTTGTTACACTGAGGGACCTGGGACTATATCTATACATTTAGATATCTATATACCTATCCTTTAAGGAGTCACTAGGGAAATTCACAGAGCAGTAAACATTTCTGCACCCAACTAACATCTGTGAGCATAAAACCTTTGTAATTCAAAACAGAAACGACAGAAAAAGAGGAGAATCTTTCTTGCCTCTAATAGATGAGGATTATCTGAATATGTAAAGGAAATATGTATGCAGAATTATAAGGTGCATCTTTAGAAAATGTAATACAAATTTCGTGGGTGATTTGCCTAGCTCAAAATAAGGCCTGTACAAGCAACAGCATCAATTAGCTCAAAATAAAACCTTCATAGGGAATAGCCTTAATTGACTCCTGAAGACAGGTGCAGGAGGAGGATGGGCAGCTGGCTGTGATCCCCACGGTGGGGCCAAGTTGCAGTGCCAGTGCTTGCCCTGCACCTGAGCTGGCAATTTCACAGCCTGGTGATCTCAGCCCACTGCCTTTCAGAAACATTGCAGCACCTCGTGGGAACTCAAAGCCAAGCTCCTGTCTGAGTCTGATATTTCTGTTGTCACAGCAGGCAGTGAAATGGATATCAGGCTGTTGACAGAGGTACTTCACCAACCCCCATATAAGACGTGCACAGGCTGCAGTTAACACAGCAAAGTCACTCGGTCGTATTTGCATTAATTATTTTTTATCCTAAAGAAAACTGCAACGTAGCATTAGGCAAAGCAAAATATGTCAGTTGAACTGCTACAGGGGACAGGCTCTCTCGGGCTAAAAGCTCTTTGTTAGTCTCAATAAGGAACAATTTACATTAGCAGACAGTTTGTTTAGATATATAATGCTGTACAAAAACCAACTACTTCAGAGAGTTTTATTAGTCTGAACACACACAGCCAAACCTTTAAATGACTGTTCAACAGAACACTCTCTTTCATTTTTGAAGTATTCTCATTTCTAACTATTGTGCAGAATTTAGAAATGAACATAATTTAGATCTGTATGATTCCACAGCTGCAACTGAAAAGTGAATTTTAATTAGATATTGAAGTAGTGTAGCAATTGCACTGCCTTAAATTCTGATGGATAAACTCTGGAATATGTTATATTACTAGACTGAGAAAGACTGGGACTAGAATAAGACATGCCTTTTATTTTCATTTTTTAAAAGCATTTTTGTCAGACTTGCTATCATGATTGGCCTATGCATCTTCCTGATGTTCTTAGTTTGCTTCATTCAAAGGTAAGTCAATTTTTTAATTTAAAGAGGTCACTTAGCATATCCTTTTGCCAGTCCTTCAGCAGATCTGAACTCATCTTGCCTCACTGAATCCGTTTTGGAGAATCATAAGGTAAGGCAAATGATAATATATATGCTATACTGCATGAAAGCCAAATGCTTTCCCTTCTTCCTCTTGCCACTATTTGCCTTTATGAAGCTGGCAGAATATCCTCTAGCAAGCTCTGATGCTCCCCTTGATTCCCCAGAAGCCCTTGGAATGGCAGTCCTAGGACAGTAGTTTGAGGCCGCAGACACAAAGCCACCCCAACAGCTCTGTGAGACAGGATGGCCATGATCAACTGAGGAGAGAACTGGGAGAGAGCAATGACACAAGGGTTTGTGGTATAAACTCTTCTGAGTTTATGTTTGAAGAAGATGAGACCTCTTTTTTTGGCTCCAAGATTGCTGAGGCACTTCTTGGACTTTGAGAGCTGGTGAATCCATTCCTGTAGAAATAGCCACAGTGTACTTTTCATGCCATATATGCAATAGAGATGGTTTCCCAAGGCTGCCAAATCATGCAGATTTGTAAACAGTAACAAATTAGTGTCAGTGTATCACTGGAGGTAATAATTAAATAACTGCAATTCCAGACTTCTAACTACTCTCAAGTAAACAGAATAAAATGAAAAATCACACACCACTATCAACTTGAAGAACTTTATCCAAAACCACGATTTCCATCTGATATTAACAAAACTTTTCATTGTCACCATAGTAAAGGAAACGAACCAATACTAAGTACAGACATAGTGAAAACAGTCAATAACTGGAAAAGAATGTAACAGGAGCTTAAAAGAATACATTTCTGTTAACTAAACCTGCTAATTACAGTAAACTTGGAGAAAACATAGGGCATTTTTAAAGCTGTTTTTCTCTTTACAGATAGAGCTCCACAATCCAAGAACAATGATTACAACAGTAAAGGTTTTTCTATAAACCAACCCATATATTACAAAAACAATACAAAGAAGCCCCACAAACCTGATAGTGTACAAAACAGGGTAGCAGAGAGAAAGCACAAGAGAATTAAATTCTCAGGGATTATTAAGAAAAAATAACTGCATACTACAGGGCTCCTGTAAATTTGCTTTATGTGAACTGAAGGATGTAATTTCCATATGACTGTGATCTTGTGTGAAGCACAGTTCCTCCCAGAAATGTCACTATTTAGCATATTTTTGGGGATAAATCCCCAAACAATTAGGCAGTATTTGAGATAACTGAAAACCAAACATAGGCTACCCCACAAAACTAGCTACCGGCTTTATTTACATTAGCTTAACATTTCACTGAGACTTTGTATTCCACTCCTTCCAAACTTCCCAACATCAGAACTGGAAGAGGACTTAGTTAGAGAAAGAACAAATATTTCTCAGATTAGGTGTTCAGACAGTAGAAAAATAGTGCAACTGTTTGCTACATTATATATATACCCTTCCAGCATATCTATCAAAATATTTAGACTCATTTTTATTACCTTCTCACTTAAAAAAATACAGCATTCTGCTTTCTTGCTTGCTTTTGATTAGGAAATTACAGACATCTTTAGATATATCTAAAACAAAACTCCAGCAACCCACAGCTAGTCCTGCACACTGATCCCCTGAAGCAGATGTCAGAAGTGTAGAAGTGTTATTAATCCAGTTGACTCCAGGTGGAGGCAAAGGTCCCTTTGGGTAGAGCAGCGTGCAGGCTCAGGAACTTCTATCATCCTTATGAAGGCAGTAACTTGAGAGGAGTTTCAGGCCTAGATCTGTAAACAGTTCAGTCTTATTTGCTCATTAGTGGGACAGAACTCCTCAAGAAATTCAACATCACCATAATGGCTGCAGCTCAGGCAGCTCCCGAAACAATACCAGCACAAGCAGGGGACCTGGGAAGGAGGCTGCACAGCTCCCTCAGTTTTGTCAAAAGAAGGTATTTCCTCTTGGTCACAATGAGATTTAGAAATGCTCAATACGGCTGTAGCAGCTTGGCCCTGCATCTGAGAAGTGTAGGTGTGACTAGATTGGAAATGGCTTAGCACATTGTGGCTGTTTTTCTTTACTAAGTTAGCATTTAATGGCCTTGACCCTACAATAAATCACATGGAGCTTTCCTATTCTCTGTAATGCCCAAACCCCACTCCCCTCACCTTACCCCACATGCATTACCACTGATTTTGATCTGCTAAAAATAAAAAAGGATTTTAGGTTGAGAAAAGCTCGGTAAATGCTGACTGCAGAACAGTGTAGTATAAAATCTGCATTTCTGAAAGGTAATTTTGCATTGTATGGATACTGACAATACAGTTACAAAGTTTCATGGTCACAACTTACTATTCTGCTTGGGGGAAACACTCTGCAGTTTGCTAAGGCAGATAATGACTAAGATTTTCCTACATGGTGAGACCTTATGTCATTGTTCTTTGCACTTACTGTGCAACGACCTTACATATCACTAACATTACTCTCAGTGAAGGTCAGTCAAGGAGATGGTTAAAAAGGTCTGTAGAACATTGCTGGCTTCCAAATCATAACATGCTCTGATACCAGGGAAAGAAAAGAACACAGAGAAGACAAGTGGAGAAATAAAATGGAGGCAATATGATGGTGACAACGGGTTTAAAGAGATGGATGCCAGTTCACATCAGGGTAATGTGGGGAGGAATGAGGCCTAAAGGACTGGGTAGTGAGATTGTCTGTAATTCTGTAACTTGTTTCTGTTCTCAGCCTTTTCAAATCTGGGCAATAGTAAGATCTACTGGCACAAAGCTTATGATTAAAATGAGGTGACACTACTCTACAGATGATACTTGACTCATTAACATTCCACGCTTAAGAAACCTGGGCTGTTTTTGCTTTTGTAGACAAACTAAGCAGATCTTTGGGAGGTAATTCTTATATGTATTCTACCAACACAGGAAGCTTTTTGAGTATTTTCTACAACTGAAAAATATCTTCACTAGTAACCTACATAGGAAAGATAGGATGGGTGGCACAACGTCCCAAGACATCCCAAAGAGAAGGAGACCCTTTGTGCTCGTATGAAAGGGCATTTGCCTTGGTACCAACAGCTCAAGTTTTCCTATGTCACACAGGCAAACCTGTCTTCAGAGGCATGTCCTTGAGATGATTAGACATGTAACACATTTGTGTTATCAGGGTTTTCTTTTCCAGTTCCTGGTTGTTGTTCTAATTCCCAAAAGAGATTACTGCAAAAGTAGGTCTGGTCATGCATCTCAGTGTAAATGCTCTGGTACAGCCCAGAATGAGATAAAACTGCCATGCACTTTGTTCTGCAAAGGCACATATTTATCTGGAGTTGATTGGGTGGACAATCGGACACTTTCATTCCTTGTGTCTGAAGGACCACAAACTAGAATAGGACATGGCTAGTCCCTAGCTGTAAGGAGGCCTCTACATGGCCAGAGAAGAGCATAGTGCTGACTTCATTTTCCCTATTTTGAGTTGGAAAGACAAAGTAAAATGCAAAGATGGGCTATATGAGGAAACATGAAAAGTTAGTGTCAGATTAAGGGCAGTAGGACACTTTAAGGCCTCAGGATGCCTTGATGCCTTTAGGATGTTCCCAGACAAGGGCAAAAGGGCTAACTACATATTAAACCACCCCTATCTTGACCTTATGGTGACTGACCAATGTAGCAGTAACAACAGACCTAACAGAATATGGATCTCTGGCTCTTTTTCTGTGAGTGGAATAAATGCACTTGTTTCCCTGAGGATTAGCAAGCTGTGAGGAGGGACATGCTGTACCTGACGGTTAGCTCACTTATACTCAGATCTGGCTCAGTCCAGGAAGCCAGTGGGGCTCATAGGGACAGAGCAGTAGATAATGAACCATTCATCTCTGCCTGTCAGAACCCTCATGTCTGACATTATCACCGGGGACCTGACTGCCCTTTTCCTTTCTGCACATTAACCAGATGAAATCCAATTCTCCAGAGCTCTGAATGCTCCAAAAGCACAGATGCATTTTGAACTGGGATTCTGATTTTTGGTCTATTTACCTCAAATATAAATCATCCTTAAAGAAAGTAATTTTCCAAATTCTACTCTGTGATTAGCCAGAGGAAACTCAGTAAAATTACATCGGATAAATGGACAGTGCTACACAAAATTAATAACTCTCAGCAGCCTGTAGAGAAATGTGAAGAGGATATTAACAACTGGAATTGTTTGAGAATAGCAAAATAAAAGCTTCTAATAATAGACAAAATACATAAAAATCCATAGACTAAGGGCCCTGCTTTCATTTGGCCCCAGACACAAAGACATATCTTCAAATGGATGTACAGGATTAGACTAAAATGGCTAGCTGCTTCTATTCACTCTTGATTCAGAGCTTATTATTATAGGCTGCTCAGCAGGTGGGTGGGATGCTGATTGCCCTCAAGTCCCATTGCAAACGAGGATTTTGGGGCAGGGATGTAATTACTTCTCAGGTATCTATGTCCTCACTTACTTGCCCACTCAAAAGGTAAATACGTTATTTGTAGCAGACAAGTCTCTCTGCTACTGTTGCATCAGTTTCAAAATCTTTTTTTCAGTTTTGCAAACGTGTTGACAGAGAAATACATCCTCCTCTCTCATTTCATTTTAGGAAGATGTTAATACTGTGGACAAGCACAGACTCCTAGTCCTGCAGACAAAAATACAAAAGGAGTAAGCTGTGTGGGTTTCCCCACTCAGTTCTCCTGTCTAATGTGCCATTGCACCCACCTGCAAAATTGTTCAGCCATTAGTCTCTTTGCTGTGGTGACTGCACAGCTGCTCTGTTGAGCTGCTGGCTGCTTTGATAAACAAAGTTCTTCAGAGAGAGTTTGATTATTTGGTATACTGCCACAGATCCCTAGAGGCCTTGGCTAGAACAGACTCATTAGGGCACCCCAGCTTGTCTTCCTGCTTCCCATGTGTCATTAGTAACTCTGCAGAGCACATTCAGTATTGCTTCTTGTGTTTGTATCATGAAATTCCACAACAGAGTAAGAGGCCTAACACCACATATAGAAAGTGGTTTGCTTCATCTACTACAGAACAAATTCCAGCCAAGGATTTTGGAACTGTTACCTGTGCTAGACATTGTTATTTAAAGCACAGATCTTGTACAAGTAGAGTCCTTCTCTCAGGCTGATACACAAAGGGCTCAGTAAAGCACAGAGCCCTCTTCTTTTACAGAAGGGCTTCAGAAAACAGCTCTGGGGAATGCATTTGGGATTCCTCATCACCCCTCAGCAAGTGACAGCAGTTAGCCACCTGCCTGGCTCCAAGGACAGGAGAAGCTACAGTGCTCCAAGTCAAGTTGTGTTAACAGTTCAGGGTTTAACACATACCTACACAATGAAGAGGTAACATAGTTCACAGGACCATACATCCACCATTCATCCACTTCTCCACTCCCCTGTGGCTTTTCTAAACTTAATGATGGATAAGCCATCTTTATCAATGGTTCAATTTAAACCTTCCCTAACCTCCCAGAAGACAGAAGTGGTTTTAGTGGGTGAAGCCAGAACATAACATCCAGAAACATGGTGTACATATTGTCACTACTGAAGTAGATCAGAGCTTGAACCAGTCTGACCACTGAGATATAGGGATCTTTAATACACTTCAACAATATTCCATATAGGCCCTCGCATGCAGTACCTGCATCCTAAAACTATTTTTTTCCCCAGCAGAGGAGCTGCACAGTTAGTGTGCAGTTTAGCTATGAGACAGGAAATGCCTGCACTTGCTGCTTCCACTCAGCTTGCCATGTCACCCTGTCAAGCCAATTACTTTAAGTTCTGTCTGGCCCTTCTTGACAACTCAGTCTCTAATGACAAAAATATGTATGACGATAATCTGGATTCAGGAGGTGAAACTCATTGTTTTCTAACACTCCTGCTATTACTATCAATTTCATATGAAAGTAGGGCATTTTCTTTGGGAAAAACAACACAAAAGTGTCACTCAGTTTCATTAGCAGAGTGGTTTTCTTTGCTCTTCCCACTGATGCTTTTCTTCATGGTTGAAGAGTTTAGTTCAGTGCTCTGGGAAAGAGATGCAAACATTGCTAATTGCATTAAGATTAATATTCCAGGAAATTTAAACAAAGCACTCCACTGGAAAATTCATTAGGCAGCAGAATAATCCCACTGGGCAAGTACCATAGTGTCAAACTGGTTTTAATCATGGTGGAAATGTTTTGCTCTTTATGCAAAAACAATGCTTGCAGGCCTAAGTAGAGAGCCTACAAAAACACTGAAGGAAGTTGATAAGTAATTGATACAATTAGAAAGGCAACAGAATATTAGAAAATGGTTGGGGACAGGACAGTACATTAAGCAATATTTCCATGGGTCCTACATGTTCCTACACTAGACCTTGTCCTGCTTGATTCTGCATTGGGAACTTCTCTGGAGCTTTCCAGCCTCATTTACAGCTTGCTTTCTGCTCAGCAAGGAGGGGTATAAGAACAGGTAAAGTACACTATTTATGCAGTTCCCCTGTTTTTCACTGTCCTCTGCCTATGAAGGAATCAATAGCTATTTTAGCACTGTGGAAAACATAATTTTTCTGTAATTCTTAAAACTAAAGCTATTTTGTTAGACAGAATTTGCTTTATTTCCCTCTGATCTTCCAGAACTGGGCTTCTCAAACTTTATCCCAGCACAGGTTTTGTCTGTCCTCAACCATCTTCACAAAATCCTGCCTCCAAAGAGGAAAATAACAACACGCAGAGAAGCTTGTCATTGTTTTTCTCAGCCTCAAAATAACTTAGTTTCTTTTCTCCCCACTGCTATCTCTGTTTGCAACTACACAGTGACTACTGAGTGGTTATAAATACTGATTTGGGGCATGCTGCTTTGATTCAAGTAACTGTCCACCAGCCCTGCAGGAAAATGGGTTTAAAGAGAAAAGAAGAAAATCCAAACCTCTCTATACATTCAGCAGCTCTTAGTCCAGCCTCAAGCCCAGTGGCAGGCTAGTGTCAAAAATAGTCTCTGTGCCTGAAGATAAGGCATTCTGGAATCAGGGTAGTAGCTATATGAGACAGAAAACCTAGACAGTACATGCAGACATAGAAGAAGAATTTGTCTGCTACTCTCAAAGTGACATTTTATATATTTATGTTTAATTTTTAAGGGGGAGGAGGGAGATTTTCAATAGAGCTGATTTTGTTTCTTTTCCTCATGATTTTATATTTCTCAAGCAAATAAGGCTACAGTTTGTTTTGAAAAGACACAGCTCTTGAAAAGGAACTGCCTATAGGAACAATGCAATGAAAATATTTTCCCTCAATAGAACAAATCCAAATAATCAGAGTCATTACCTACAGCAGGCTATATAAGAATAATTTCCAGAATCCTCATCAGAACCCAGAGATATATTAATACTGAAATATAAGCACTTGCATATCTGTCACTTTTAACCTTTTTTGTATTGTTTCTACCCCATGACGCACCTGATTGATGTATTCATTCCCTTGTGAGTGCATAAGTGTCCAATCTTTCTTTCAATTTTATCTTACTCATAACCATCAGCCTTCCCAATTTTCCCACATTCTTTCAATACATTAATAACCTTATGAAAGTACAGAGCTGCTGTAAGAAATCTGGATTACACTGAAATGAGATGAAAAGCATGGCATTAAGCCTTTGTTTCCTGGAAGGGACAGATATACAAACCACAGCAATTCAGTGCCCCTAGACAGAAATGGGAGCTTGTGCTGCTGCTCTGTTTATCATTTCCTCCTCTGGAATAGGGAGGGTCTGCAGAGCAGCAATAGCTGTGCCTTCTCCCAGACAGACAGGTTCAGCATCATTTCATCAATTATCAGCTCTAGTAACTGGTACTGGAAGGCAAGTCCTAGATAGCTGCCTCTGCCTGTCAGAGCTCTAAGACCCATGATTTTCAACACAGCCTAGGAGCATATGCACATGCTGAAGACTCACACATGATGAACCTGGACTTCATCAGAACCAAGCCAATGCCAACCATTTAATCCATCTAGAAAACTAAGATGTCCAGAAAACATGACATGGAACAATTCCATACAACATTATACCACAGTAAAAAAATGCACAAAGAAAGAGCTGACAAACAGTAGAAGAGCTGCTAGAAAAATCTACAGTAGAAAATAAGCACTTTCTAAATAAATATCGCCTTCTCTGTATTTACTACACCCAAGTTGATCTCTCTTTTATTACATTTCTATACAAAACTGATATTGGTTCTTCAATTAAAGCTCTCACTTCCATACAACTTGCATCCAAACTTTCTGCCATCAAGACTTAACATGATTAACTTGCATTTCATTTCCATAACTGTGGCAGCACCTAATCAACAAAGTCCCTACCTATATGTATTTATATTGATATACATGTATATATACACACATACATACATACATACATACACATGACAAATACTGTTGAAGTTTTCCTCTCTTCCAGTGTTTATAGTGACAGTCATCCTAGAAGGTGAAGGCATACACCACTCCCACAACCACAATATTTCCAATTGTTGCTATTATTGCAATCCATAACAATATGGCATCATTTGAAGAACGGGATGTCTCTTCTGGTGGATTCTGCATGGACGAAGCTGCATGGACGTTGGCTGATGAGTTAAACAAGGAGTACTCTGTACTAAAGTCCTCGTTGGGTGAGTCCATAAAGGCTCCTCCCATAACAGGAAGCTGTGAAGAAAGATATGGCAAAATCAGACTGTGGGCTAAAAAGTGCTTTTGCATTGTCTCAAAGTAATAACAAAAAACTAACCATTAGCTAACCTGCAAAATCACTGAGATTTCATGTACGTGGTGCTTACCTGTCAGGAATACCACAGACACACACACGCACTGTACAGTGTCTCTCCCATTTCTGTCAGAGTCAATATTATTGCAGAAAACCTACATATATTAAATGCAATATATATAAGAGCTAGCACGCAGGCTTCAATTCAAACTAAGTAATCATATGTATTTTGAAAGAAGTACATCTGTATGCAAAGTACTCACATACCAGAATCTAAGTTTATAACGATATGATTGTGACTACCAGCAATGGTATCATAACACTGCAAGACATTGTGCAAGCACAGGGGGGGTCTGATGCAGAGAATTCGTTCTCCTTTTATGTATTAGTCAGAAGCAAACCCTCGGTTTATGTAGAGATCATGCAAAAAGTTCTTACTGTAAAACAGGTGGAGTGTACTCAGTGCACTAACATCACCTGCAGAACACACCACTGCAACAATCCAGGATTTATAAATCTATACAATGGGAAACTTCAAACAGGATTTTGAAAGGCTCTATCATAAAGCAGTAAGTGATGGATTTCTAGCAATTATCCCATCCCAGACTTCTACTGGGAAGGACAACATTTTTTTGGTGCTCTTAGTGGTTTCTCAGCGGTACTAGAAAATGTTCTCGGTAAGACAGCTGTTATTCAATACAATATGGAAAAGCTAAAGGAAGAAGAAATTGTTTAACCTTGTCCTTACACATGTTCTAATTGTCTTTCCAACTTTATCCTAGATCAGGACATATTCTTCCTGATTCAAGGATATTAGAAAAAGGTTCTTCACCCAGAGGGTGGTTGGGCACTGGAACAGGCTCCCCAGGGAAGTGGTCACAGCACCAAGCCTGACAGAGGTTTTGGATGATACCCTCAGGCACATGGTGTGACTCTTGGGGAAGGTCCTCTGCAGGGTTAAGGGTTGGACTCGATGGTCCTTGTGGGTCCCTTCCAATTCAGCATACTCTGTGATCCTGTGAAATCAATGGATACCTCATTCAGGCAAGGGAAGGATAACTACTGCAGAACTAAGACCATATACAACTAAAAAAGATTCACACAAAAGCTTTTTCTTTTATCCTTGTCCCTTGTATGTTTGGGAATGCAGAGCTAGAAGAGTCTCCCCTGGCTCACCGAATGCAGGCTCTACAGTCTCATGTAAGTATAGGACATTGCTTCAGAAAAAGCTGCAGAACATGTACTTCGCAGATCTGTAAATGGTGAGGACACACACTTCTGAATATCCTGTAAAAAGCCAAAGATCTGCTTAGCAACCACATGAACTGCAACTGTTATGTACTGTAGAAAGAGCATAAGCAGTGTGGGTATGCTATAGCCCCAAGTCTCTTCTGTACTGCATAACTAAATTCCTGGAGGACTGTAGTAGGTAGGTAGGCCAAAGCCATGGGTTTACCGGATTAAAAAAAACAAACAGAGCTGTATGTATAAATCTCTCTGCCAGCTTGACCAGAAGGAAAAAATTCCATCATACTGACGAGTGGTTTGATATTGAGCAACGAGTAAAAACTACATATCAGTGCATCCTACCTACATCCTCCTTCCTTTCAGATTTGGTAGGAGTCCAGGGCTTCAGGGAAAGCTGAAAAAAAAGTCTGAGAATATTGTCCTTAAAAAACACCCTCACTGCAACACCAACCAACCTTTCCTTCCTCACAATGGTTTCCACACTGCTGCTGTCACCTTCCAACCTTTAGACAGTCTCCTGTTTTACACCCTATTTGTTAGTGCTGTTGGGGTTTTGGTATTATTCTTCACTTTTCTCAACAGGGTTCTCTTCTACTATACCTTCAACACTACTGCTGAAGTTACCACGGCCTATGAGTAACAGAGGAACAAGCTTTGCCTTCATTCAGCCACATCACAGAAGGCTGCTATATCCTCAGCCCTAAGCTGTCATGCCCAATACTCACTGGGGTGAAAAATCAATCTCTTTTAAAACCCTGTCCTTCAGCTTCTGCATCACATTTTGACTCCCCCAGTAACCTCTCCCTTTGGTACCAAACTACATTCCTTCTGGCTGTGTGCAGCTATGCTATGGAGGCTACTGAACAGGACAGGATGTGATGATAAACCATCTTTCCACAGTGTTGGCTGTAATCTACAGATTACAGTAAAAAAATTGAGAATTTTGAGAATGAAGTATTTTTTTTTGTTTGCCATGCATAACATTTTACAGAGATATAAAAGACAGGCTATTTTTCAAAGCTGACTACTGAACAAATTTCATCTGTACTAGAAAATATCATGTCACATTCAAAATTAAACAGAGAATGATGAAACAGTGGATATGTCATACTACCTAATCCACATTAAATAAAATTATCTTTGATATCAAATATGATTAGACAAAAGCAGTTCACAAGAATTCAAGCAGGAAATTGCAAAAGTAGTTTGATACATTCTCCCTGCATCAAAGGTTTTGTCCTGTCAGTTTTGACACAGTGTCCTTTAAAGAGAATGAGACCTTCCATTTCGAAAGCCCAGCTTGATGTTTTGAATCCAATTCCATCAGCCTTTTTTATGTTGGGATTTGATAAGGAAAACATTTCAGTTTAATCAAAATTTCTTTTTATGTAGAGATTGCCATAAAAGGCAATTCTGACTTCAAACAGAAGTATATTTATGCAGCAATGATGCTACTTAACAGTTATGGAGACTCTGAAGATCTTTGCAGCAAATGATGGCCATACATTTACTATACTGGCAGCAAAATGCTCAATCAGAGGTACTTGCCTCCTTAGCAAACCATTTTAAGGGTATCAGCATTTAGGAAGGTCAAGTCTGCAAAATCTTTCAACTGGAACAATCATCCAAAATACAAAGGTACACACATATCTGCATGTGCCCAAGACAGTGGGAGGTCATGAACACTGCTCTGGTGAGTGACACCTGGTTTTGGGGCCACACATTCTGTGCTCTCAATGAGTAACTTGAAATGACAAGCTTCCATCCTGCTAGTCCAGCTGGTGCTGTCACAAAGGCAGGGAGCATCCGTGTAGCAGCACAGCTACACAACACTGTAATTTATGTAGAATATGAATCTCCTTGTACTGTCTAAGGCTCAAACAAGCTGTCTGCACCATCTGAGGGGAACACGTGGTGAAACAGCTCATCTGAATCTCCGAAATCACCTTGAGGTGACCTGATAAAAAGCACTGACATTCAGCACATGGCACAGGCTCTTTCTGTAAAACTGACTTCCAGTTTTTTTGTTTGTAGGTCAGTAGCACTTCACCAAAGGTCTGGAAATAAACCTTACTGCCAATTTCCCATTTGGACAAATCATCTTTTACTAAAACGTGTATTCTCACTGCTAAAATGGCCTCATATAAGAGCACAGGAATGGCCATATGGTGTAAGACAGAAAGTCCATCTCCCTCGTGTTTTAGCTTGAACAGTGGCCATAAATAGATGCTTAGGAAAGAGAATAGCACAACAGAACAACCATGTCTGATATTTCCCCTTAAGAACTTACAGCCTCCAACTGTTTTCAGCTTAGGAGGTTCATAAGCCAGATACTACTGCTATGGATTTAATAACTTGCAAAGAATTTTGCTACCATGAACTTGTCCAGCCTCCACCTGAGCTCATCTGAAGCCGAGCATCCTTCTCAGTCTGGCCTCTTAGTGCCACTTAACAGTCAGGGTTACCCAGTGATTAGAGCCATGAAATCATCCTTGGGAGATATGCCATCCCTCCACGGGAGAGAGAGAAGCATGGATGACTAGTACCAACTGCAATCTATCATTTTGGTAGATTAACTTCAGTGAGATGAATCTCATCCTCAGTCTTGATGTCTTTGTTCTCCCAAAATGTACAGTATCTTCCTTCTGCAGTCTTATTTGAGATATTACATTAAAGACTGTGAGACCTTCACACTCAACACTAATGAGAGTTGCAAAGTGCCTGTGATTAACAGCAGGCTAAGTTCAGACAGCCTGCAATGCACTCCGTGACTGCTCTATTTTTCTGCCCATGCCTCTACAAAGCAAATATATGCCAATTTGCATAATCCAAAACTTTCACCCGTGTCACTGCCATTACAGTGACCTGCAGTCTGTTTTAGCCTCAGAGGGTATTTATAGTTCAGGCAAAGCCGTGCAGAGCCTCTGCCACCCTCTCCAAGAGCACTGGGCAAGGAGGCCAGGGCAAAGGGTTAACTGGGAAACAGTGAGGGATATGACAGGAGCAGATGGTGAGAGGGAATGCTGAAGCACACTGTTTGAAAATTAAACTCTTTTCCTAGTGACTATGTCGACACTGTTAAGTAGCGCTAATAGTACATCGCTTGCTAAATGGCTTCTGGGACTGGCAAAGAAAGAATTGATATCATTAAATAGCAACAGGCAGAAAACCAAACAGCAAAATGTCAAGTGGTAATGAGAACACCCACTGCGCTTAATACCTCCTACTGACATGCCTTTGGGTCACAAGGAGAACAAGGCTCTTGAACAGTTACATGATACTCTTTGCATTTAGCAGAAAAATCCTATCTTATAACCAAAATGATTCATAAGAGGAACAAACAACACATCAGGCATCAGTCACTGATACTCTAAAAATGACAGCTTTCTTAAGTAGCATCACATAAAATTCATCACTCAGCAAAACATTGCTCCATTTCTTTAAGAATCAGGTGTCAGTCATTTCTTCATAGTCAGCTAGGGAAGTGTAACACTTAGCTGCTGCTACCTTATTGGGAACCCAAGCCCAGCACAGGTGTTTGAAAGTGTAGCTGAATTTTCTACTAGGCATCTTCCAGAAACTAAGAAACCTCAGCAGCAGCTTTAACAGCTGTGCTGTATCTTTGCCCTGGCCTCACCAACACCACTCTAGGAATGGGATGCTGGGAGGTAAAACGAAACCCCAGGCGTTGTTT